AAATGTAGGGGACACAAAAGTATCCAAAGAAACAAATATGAACCCTCTGAGACATCAGATGCTTCAATCAGCAAACCTTAACAGGTTTCATGCTAAAGGTTGAAGCATTCAGATTTAACAGCTGCTTTGCTATCTCATTCTTTAAACCGGACACCATATCCTAAAATTTTAAAAGAGAAAAGGGAAAAGATAGAATGCATTAGCAGCTGCAAGCCAGCATAAAAAATGGAAAGTGAGGGGGGAAATATAATCAAGGGAAAATGAAATTTTAATTCAAGAGTAAAGACTAACTTGCAGCTTTTTTTGAAAGTCTGTGCGAGAAATCCGAGACTCTTCAACATCCTTCTCGAGTGCCATCATTTCACCAGTGTGATGTAAAGGACGACTTGGAATTGCATAGACACACCTCTGCATGTTCTTTACAACAACACAGCAACTTTGATACGAACTACCTGATTTGACCTAATTCTCAACAAAGAGTTCCAGTAAGTGAACTTTTCACATCCAGGCTCCACACAAGTGAGCAGTCATGGGTCGCTGACTGACACTTTACAAGCTTAAATCCAAAGAGTATAGAGAAGTAACATTCACTAGGGCTTGAAGACTAAAATAACAAGGCAAAAGACAAAAAGTATGCATCATCATGCACTGGGTTTGATAATTAAAATTGAATTGCAACAATTAGTCCCTGCTGTTATTAGAGCTTGCCAAACAAGATGTTGAGATATTTATCCTAATCTTCATCCTGCCCCTCACAAACTCTTATGTGAGGATCCTGTCCCATGAACCTATTATGTGTAATATAGCTGAGAGAATAAATCAGAAATAATGAATAGTCAAATTAAGAGAAACTGGTGGGACATTAGCATGGAAAATAAGCAAATTACCTTCCCGAACAAATACAGTGTACCCATGTTAGCTCCATAGAATTCCTCATGAGCATCAAGTATGTAGAACGGCAGCGACCCATCAGCCTCCAGATTGAACTCTAAGTTTTCTTCATTATTTAAAACTTCGTCGGCCACCTTTGAATCAACAACATTCACATCCCCCCCGCTCTTTGCTGCCTGCCAACCTATAGTCGCACTCAGTGCAGGGTCTTCTTCTTTAACCTTCGCATTCAGAAGAAATACCTCCTTCTCCACTGTTTGTTTGGCTTCTATCTCGACACCCTTTAACATTTTTTCTTCAGTCACGTCTCCGTTGGTTGGACCACTATGGGTTTGCATGGCTGATGCCAGACCATCGTCGGAATCAATATTTCTCCCATCTTCTGATTCTTTAGTAGTTGCCTCTACTTTGACTCCTCCGTAATTTTGTTCAGAACCCAAGGCAAAACCATCATTTTTCACAACTCCAGTAGATTCATAATTGCCATTTGCGACAGCATCCGACGACAAAAGATCTCTCGTCGGATCATGACATCCAATCGCTGATTCCTCTCTCTTAATATTGTCAACCGGCAGAGCATTGTTGGCACTTGAAGGATTTGTTGGCCCGCGTCTACGCCTTAATCTGTCAGTCTCATCCGGGGCGAACTCTGCGATGACATCATCAACAATACTATCACAAGAAAGTCCTTTAGTCTTATCATCCCTGCTTTTCTTAAAAACCGACGAAGTGAACATCGATGACAACCTCTGCGCTCCTATCATCGCCGCCGCAGCCGATAGCGAAGACGATGGCCTTTTAGGTTGCGGATCTTTCTTTTCTTGTCTCTTCCTTTTGGGCTTTTCAGTTTCGCCACCGGATTCATCGGAAGACAGAGAGAACCCAGCTTTTGACCAATCCTCCTCCTCCCCTTCGTCCCCGTACCCAAGACCGTCATCGTCCACAATGAAGCCTCTGGCTTCTTCGCGGCGCTTGGCGACCAGTGCATTGTACTCGTCCTCGGCGACAGTATCATAAATCGGGTTATCCAGCTTAATCTGATATCCATCGGTGTCTGAACGGCGACCGCCACGAAGTCGGGCTTTTAGACGTTCCAAAGCTTCGGAACGCGCCGATGCCTCGGCACCTTTTCCCCTTCGTCTGGAAGTCGTTGAAGGCTGCTCATCGGCCATTTCCGTTGCCGTGATCTGATGCTGGGAGAGCCACTGTGGAGCGGAGCAGTTGGCTACTTGCTGAGTATTTTTACAAAGGAAAGCGCGGGAAACCCTGCTACTTTTGGCGCGAATGTGGCCTTGTCCAGCTAATGTTTTGTATGGTTAAGATAAAATTAAAAAAATAGGTATGGATTGGAGGCAAGTCATAGCAACAATATTTATGTTAGTTTATTTTAACAAAACTAAAATGTGGGACAGTAAATTCATCAAAGGGTGTGTTTGGATGAAACCAAACCATGGTTTGAAGAATAGCTTCTAGAGAATAGATTCTGAAAAAAATAGATTTTGAGAAGAATAGATTTTGTGAAAAAGTGATTTTGAGAAGTGTGAGTGTTTGGATAGTTGTTATTAGAAGTACTTTTTATATATACAAATTGGCATAAATTAATATGATAATTATAGAAAAAATATATTTTATGATATATTTTAATTTGAAGGAATAAAATTGTTAATAATATATTTTTTATTAACATATATTAATAATATATAAGATAATATAATTAATAAATAATTAATATGTATATATATTTATAAGATATAAGATTAAATATGTTTATAAAAAATATGTTTATAAAAAAAACAACAAGATACATATCCTATAGGCTCTCACACTCTCCCTTTTTTCTCCAAAAGTAAAAAATTTCTGCTTTTCTCAAAACTATGGTTTTGGAGTCAAAACCATGGTTTTGAACCCAAACCATGGTTTTGATTTTTTTAAGGGTGTTTGGCTAACATTTTTCCCAAACCATGGTTTGGGATGCTTGCCAAACACACCCAAAGAGAGTGTTTGGATTCCCCCATAAGTGTTTTTTAAAAATATTTTTTCGTAAATTGAGATAAATTCCTCCACATATTTACTTCGTATACCGTAAAATCACTTCTAAAATCATGGTTTGGTTTGCATCCAAACACCCCTAAAGTCGAGGTCAATAAAATAATTAACAGGGAAAAATGATGCCAACTGCCAAGCCAGTAAATTCCCTTCTTGATGGGCATTCATGTGAGCATGCGTTGCGGGATAAAAACCCCCCATATTTACCTTTTTTTTATTTTTTTTCCTAAAGTATAAGTATTCTCTTATTAAAGGCAATCTTATTCGAGGCACTGTCGGGCATTAAATGTAAGCACCTCTCCCAGCGGGGATTCGAATCTTAGTTTACTATGTTGTGGAAGACTAATCCTTTCTGTTATACTCAACTTTTGTTAGTTTTTTTTTTTTTAAACTTTTCACTGTGCGCCATGTGAGCCTCGTTTGTGTTGTTCTAATGCCGAGGCCCAATTCCCTTGTTTTCCCTTTTTTTTGGACCTGATCCCTGGGTCCTGGGAGCCCAGTGTATTATGGTGATAGTTTGCCGTTGAGTTTTAAAATAAGACATTGGGCCCCCACCCGCTAATGTTCTTTGATCACCCAGTGTGATAAATATCATCTCACATGGGTCACTCCCCTCATGTGCGTTGTGATTACGAGGCTGTTTGAGAGTTTTTTTTTTTTTTTACTCTTAAAAAAAATAAATTCTGAAAAAAATAATTTTAAAATTTTAAAATCTCAAATCAGAAATTATTATAAAAATGTATTATCATTTATTTTTTAAGTGTAGTAAATAAGATTTGGAATTTTGAAATTCAAAGTTTATTTTTTTTGGATTTTCCCTTTAAAAATGAAAGATAAACTATTGTATTGCATTATCATCACTTAATATAATTCTGAACATCTGTGATCCCTCTTCTGTTATTTTTCAGGGAAACAAATGTTACCAAAACTGATATTGTTTGCTTTTATTTTGATATTTGATGATATTTTAAATACTTATCAAATGGCTGGTGGATAGAAATTAAAATCCCTATAATCAATATTTATTTTGTATTCATGGAAGACCACTGCAGGAGTAAAGAAAAGAAAATAAATACAGACCAGTGAATGAGTGAATAGAACGACCAAAGCACGAGACTTCACTGGCAAATTCTTTTCCGGCCGGCCACCTAATCTTAGGATTAATAGAACGACCCCATTGAAAGAGTGATGAGGCAGCACGGATAAACTGTTGATGATATTCGTCGAAGCTCAGCAGCGATCGAGAAACAGAAAATAGTGAATGATCCAGCCATTAATCAGGACAAGTCCAAAAGAAAGACGTCAATCAGAACTCGTCTCCTTCAAAATCACATTAAGCGAAATAGAGAAATACTCGATAAGCTGCTAGAAAAGCATTCAAGCATAAAAGTACCCAAATTATATTGGCTTCTTACACATGTGTACAGCAACCTGCAAATTAATTAATGGAAGGAGAACAATCATGGAAACTGGAAAGACCCCAACCATGCGGGCGCGTGAATCTTGATATATAACAAATTGAAGTTACAGTAAAACTGACAGGCAGCTCATATCATTGATCTCATATATTATACACGTTACACAAGGACGATGGTAGAGTTTAGAAGAAAAAACCAACAAAATACGTCCGAGAGTTAAGTTGTGTATAATACTAGTACAGAACAAGTGTGATTTCAAATAAGGGACGATATATAATTGGATCTGCGTATCCCAAAGCTGCGGGAAAATGAATGATTGGGAAAACGAGAAAGGAGTGTGCAAAGCGAGTTGAAAAATTATTGACGACAAAACAGGTGTGGTAGTTAGATTATAAAGATGTGCAGCACACAACATCCTTCTGCTGCCCTGCCACTCCTCTTCTCTCTACCCATACTCACTTCATTACTCAGTATATCAATATTACCCCACTAGGGACCCACCACCTGTGAATCATTTCGTGCGCGCCTGCACTATCCTATAAATACCCCGGTCCTTGCTTTTCAAGGTTCAACTCAACAAACACACTCTTCTTCTTCTTATAAACCATTACTTCTAATTAATTAAGCTTCCAGCCTTCTTTCGAAATGGCAAGCACCCAGAAGTCCCTCAAGGCTCGCCTGCAAAATGGCGAAGTCCTGTATGGGATCGCCCTCCTTAGCTTCTCACCTACCATGGCAGAAATAGCTGCCTTTGCCGGCTATGACTTCGTCCTCATTGACATGGAGCATGGGTTCGGTGGCATCGCTGACGCCTTGCCCTGCATCCACGCCGTTTCCGCCGCCAACACTCCGGTGATCATCCGCGTTCCCGAGAACTCACATGTGTGGGTCAAGAAAGTTCTCGATCTTGGCCCTCAGGGCATAGTCTTCCCATTCATCAACGACGCCGATCAGGCCAGAAAGGCCGTATCGCACTGCCGTTATCCCACCAAGGGAGTGCGGGGGGTGGCCACTCCCATTGTTAGGGCGTCCAAGTCCGGCATCGACGAGCACTACGCGGAGCACTACGAGAAGGACCTGCTTATTATGTGCCAGGTAGAGACGGAGGAGTCGGTAAACAACGCGGAGAAGATCGCGGCTGTGGACGGGGTAGACGCCGTCATGGTGGGTCCTTATGACCTGAGCGCCAGCGTCGGGTGCATGTCCAACCCAAATGCTCAGAAAGTGAAGGATCTGCTGAGGAGCATGGAGAGGACTGTACTGTCCTCTAAGAAAAACGAAAACGGAGGCCCATTTTTGGCTGCATTTGCAATCGGAGCAGATGGGTCGGAGGACTTCCGAAGGCGAGGGTACCAGTGCATTCGTGGGGCCTGTGACGTCGTGGCGTTTAAGAATGCCTGCCTTGCCGACGTGAGGAAGTTTAAGAAGGGCTTGGTCAGCTCCAGTCATTGACATCTACCTGGGCATTAATTCGTCAGTTGTGCCATATGCAGCAAAATAAGCTTTGAGGTGCTTGAGGTCAATAGGCCATGCACGTTCAGTCATTTTGTTCAGTGTCATGGCTGGAAGTTTATGTTAATTTTGTTATATTTTTACCATGAAATTATCAATTTTTATGCCAGAATAATTTTGCGAAATTTTTATAATAGAAATCATATCGTGTCGTGGAGATCGGAGAAACAATCCTTTTCCTTCAGGCATACCAATCCGCCTTGGAGGCCATATGCTCATGAACGTATGCTTTGCCGCCGACTGTTGTGCAGTCCTCGCACGGAATCATAGCTGCAGCGCTCCCGCACCAACACATATAATTTTTAAATTTTTTATGATTTTTTCAAAAAAAAAAAGCTTTTTTTTTAAAAAAATTATAAAAAATTCAACGTCACTAATTTTGCGTAGAGTCTGATGATTAAAAAAAATTTTGGAGATTGGAGCATTTCAAGGGATATTAAAGAGTGGAACATTAGAAGCCCCTTGCCTAGTTTTTTTTTTTTGGGGGGGGGGGGATAGATTGCGGACAAACATTCAAGAATTAAATACTCCGCCGGGACCAATGTGTCGTTGGCATCTGCATGATGCCTGTGTGCGTGCGTGTTAATGCTTATGGGTCAGTTGCCATGATTTCCGTGGTGAGGCCTGAACCGATGAGCAGTGAGGTAAATTAATGATTAATTTAATTCACCACGATCTGGGGGTTATCTATAATTATAATCGATCTGGGGACTCAGGTCTGCCTACCATCAGGTAGATTTTGAAGCATGGATTTTATCGATGAGGCCTGTTTAATTTTAGTGTGCCTAGTTAATTAGCCTGCTTGGTTTGAAATGTGTACTTCGGTCCTAAATATAACATTTGTTTTATTTAATTGTGAAAACCAAGAAAAATAATTGCATTGATAATATTTATTTATGTGTAACTTGTGTGTCCCTGTGCAGCATTTCCCAAAATGCCCATAAAAGTATTGAGTGTGTGATATGAGAGGGTGAAAATAATCGTGGCATAGACAAAATGGGTCAATATAATGCCCTGTATTAAAGGCTAAATCACATCCATCGCATTGGAGGGAGCATAATAAAAGTATACATACTCCTCTGTACTTAATGTAAGACTATTTAATTATTTTGATTAGATTAAAAGGCTAGTTAAGTTAAATAATAATAAATATAACTTCTTTTTTTTTTGAAAATACCCTCAGTTAAAACCTTTTTTTAAGAAACTGACATTTTTTTTCAAAAAAAGTAGACTTTGGTTAACTCTCCTTCAACGTCTGCACTAATTCCATCCCAACTTGTTGGTTTCCCAAAATACCTTCAGTTAAAACTTTTTAAAATTGCGTTGTTATAGTCTACTCGTTAAATTATTTTATTAAAAATTATAAAACAGTAGAATTGAATGTGTGTAGAATTAATAAGTAGTAAGTATTAATCACTCTATAAAATATATAGGTGTATTATTAAGTTATTACTGTTGTATTTAATTATTTTTAAGAAACAATTAATAGGGATAATTTGAGAAAAAATGATAAATATAAAAAATAGTTTCTACATTTATGATCAATATCAACTCCCTGATTATATCTTATATTAGAGACGGGAAGAGTAGTATTCACAATCCAGTCTTTTTTATATCGGGACTTTTTAAAAGAAATGGGTAGTCACATGCTTAGTTATTGTATGGAGTACTAATTGAGTTTTCGTAGGATTACCGTTCCATCAGTTTTATAGGCATGCATTTAATTATGAGTGATTATTTTTCAAACTGTGCTTTTAAATAGTATGAGCAAAATTGCAATGTTTTTATTCATATGTGAGATTAGTGATTTGATTGCGGGGGTGCTTGGATGAAACCAAACCATGGTTTGAAGAATAGCTTCTGGAGAATAGATTAAGGGGAGAATATATTTTGTTAAAAAGTAATTATAAGAAGTAAGAGTGTTCGGATATTTGTTATCGGAAGTATTTTTTATATATACGAATTACTAAAAAAGACACAAGTTAATATAATAATTATATAAAAAAATAGATTTTACGATATATTTTAATTTGAAGGAATAAAATTATTAATAATATATTTTTTACCAACATAATTAATAATACATAAGATAATATAATTAATATGTGTATATATATTTATAAGATATAAGATTAAATATACTTATAAACAAATAATTGAGGGATGTTAAAGTCATATTATTGTTGAGATCTACTCTGACAAGCACGATCATACTCTCCAATTTAAACCAAAAGCAGAATAGATTCACTTCTCCTGAAACCATGGTTTTACGTAGGGGTGTTCAAGGCCGGCCCGTCCCGGTCGGCCCGTTCCGGTCCCGATTTTATTGGGACGGGACGGATCCGTCCCGAAATTTTTCGGGACGGGACACGAGACGGGGTCGTCCCGTCCCGGTCCCGTCCCGGTTCCTTTTAAAAAAAATTAATTTTTTAATTTTTTATATAATATCATTTTTTTCATATTTTTTTAAGATTTGAGACTATTATATGGAACTATGGATATATTTATTTAGAGTTTTTATATTTGTTAATGATTTGAGATTATTGATGATTAGAATTTTTAGCAAGTTTTTATTGTGTTAAAAGCTTTTGTTTAAAGTTTTAATAACTATTATATGTAATATTTTGAGCTTTTGTTTAAGAGTGCCCAAACAAATAAAAAAGATGTTTTTATAAGATTTAAGCTCAAAAAAATATAATTAAAAAAATCAGATTTTTTTAAAAAAATAAAAAATAATAATTTCGGGACGTCCCGTCCCGTCCCGACCGGGCCGGGACACGGGACAGAAAATCTGTCCCGTACTGTTCACCGGGACGGAATCGGGACGGGCCTGTCCCAGTCCCGATCCGTCCCGTGAACACCCCTAGTTTTACGCTCCAAAACCATGGTTTCGACCTAAACCATGGTTTCGAATTATTTCTTTAAAATTGATGCTGTTTGGGTGACATCCCATCCAAACCATGGTTTTACCTCCCAAACTATGGTATTGAGGGGCACCCAAACAAGCCCGTATATTTTTATTGGTCCAAGGGAGGTTGTTAGAGATGATTTATGTAAGAGATTGAAGGGAGTAATATAAGAATCGACCACTCCAGCTCAAACATGAAGCACTTTCTATTTGGGCACAATAGAGAGACACTTAAAGTCAATTTAACTCATGGGGGCCACCCTTGAGCGGGGCATTTACAATTAAAAAAAAATCACATATCATTAACCTTTTAAATGATAATCATCCAGTCCTCAATACTCCTCCAGTTCAAAACATAAACTAAACTTTATCTATTACGTTTATTAAGAAACTAATTAAAATCAATTTAAAACAATAAATGTGTAAGGCATATATTTGTTTTTTCTTATATACCCTTATTAATGAAGAGAGTAAGTAAAAGATGTAATAAATGAATTAAAGAGAAAAGAGAATATATGGGGTAAAATTGAAAAAGAACTCATTAAATGCTTGGACAAAAGTGAATGTTATCTTATAAAAAAACTAACCCCTATAAAAAAGTTTAGCTTATATTTTGAACCAGGGGAGTATAAAAACCTAGTTGTTGAATTGATATTAATCCTAAATATAATACATATTTCTTATATTTTTTTTTTTTTTTAAATTACCCATATTGATGCTTATTCGATCATAATCAAATGGGAGAGAAAAGAATAATATCAATAAAGATGATTATGATATTTTAAGAAAAACATATCACATTTTTTATAATTAACTAATTTTACTTAACTTTCTTAATCTAATTAAATTAGTTAAATAAATATTATATCAAAGACAAGAAGAATACATATATAACTGATTGCAACCATGATAAAAAAATCTCTCAATCACTTATAATATCTCAAATAAGTAAATTATTTTTATGTTCAAAACTCCGATGCCAACAGTCATTTATTTGACACTCCCAAGAAGGAGAAATTGTCACTGTAACACTTTTCGAGAGATTCTATCCACTTATTTAATACAGAACCTTTTTAAATATTAATATATTAAATTTATTTTTTTATAGTAATTATGTTTACAAAATAATTATTATTGGAGACCATTGGCGTTATGGTTAGAATACTAAAAATATATTTTTCTTAATTAGACGAACAAACTGAAATACTTATAAAGTCAGATGGCTACTAAACCACACGAAGCAAAAATAATTATGGAGATACGCCGAGATCCAGTATGAAATCGAATATAATAATGGTGGTACTGCGTCAGTCGCGTGCGTGTTCTCAGGTGTGGGCAGCAAATGAAGTGGGTGGTGGGTTTATAAATGTAACGAAGGCTCAGTATTAGGTAGAGTTTTAGTTGTCCATACTCCATTCATATATATACCACCACAAGATCACTGGCTCCATGGACGCCCTCAAATCTAATCCATGAATGCATAGTTAATTAATCTCTCCGTTATTAATTACTCATAAATAACACCTAAATATAGTAATTCGTGTAAATTAAAAAAAAAAAGGCCAGTTCAATATAATTGAGGAGCCGGGATCTTCAGAAAATGTCGCCCATATATTTCCAGACAAGCGTCTTCAAACTCCCGATAGACGATGCCTAGTCAAAAAAAGATCTTCCTACCAAAGGCAATCTCTATTTACTGTATAAACTCACGTGGATGACTGTTTTAAAGAATATTTTAATAGAAACTAAGTCATAATTTCAAAAATAATTTTAAAGTGTACAAAATAAGTATATGAAAAGAGTTTTGTCTCAATTTATGTAAAAATACTTTTAAAAAGTATTTATGGAGGTTCCAAACACCCCTTAGTTGATTAATTGATGCATTGGGTGCGTGTGATAGAGCCCGCGGACGTTGTCGTTTTGTGAGTGATTTGCAATCAAGAACGATCAGCTAATTAAGGGCGTAGTCGTGTTTTCTCAAATAATGGCTCAACTTGGCTGGGAATGCAATCAACTATTCAGTTTCTCGATG